GTCGCCTGCCTGTAAGGCGAGCGAAGTACACCAACATGGATCGGAAAAACAGTTCCTCGGGGTGTCAAGAGTCTTAGATTGAACTGATCAAAATGAAGCTCAGCAACGCTGATAACTAACTCTCCTTGCCGACCACGGGACCACATCAGGAGAAGATCGCGGAACTCGATATCTCTACTTAGAAATCCATCAATCGCGAGATAACTTGGTCGGAGGAAGCTGGAGGTAGGGATTAGGGGGAAACGACGTTCGAGATCTCTTGGGTGTCGCTGGAGACGCTGACAAGGCCCTTGGAGTCACTGAAAGCCTCTTTAAAGAGATCGGCCCTAGATATTGTTGGATTTGCGATCTGCGACAATGGAGATGGAGACGTAGAGGAACGTTTTGAGTTCAACACGATACTCGGAGTGGACAATCCAAGTGCAGGTAGAATAAAACTGTCAGATTGAGGCCTAAGTCTCTACTACGAACGTTATCCGGACAATACTTCAAGGGTTTCTAATTCAATGCTTCAAAATAATTGCTATTCTTCGATTTTAATGGCTTCACTCACTTTTTTCTCTTTCTACTTGGATAGAGTCAGGTTTGAGCTGCAGATAAAGTCGGAACTCCTGATCGGATGGGCGGAGATTGCTTGTTTCCGGCCATTTTTATTTGAATTGGATTGTTAGCTAACTGTATAATATAAGGAGTTTACATACTTACAGCAGATCATCCCTGAAAGAATTTGGCCGGGGGTTCAAGTATGCTCAGATCAAGTCAACTGCGATCGGACTCAGCGTTCAAGCAAAGGACCTCTAAGAGACGGATTGAAGTGGTTAAGAGATCTACTAGGCAGCAAAAGATGACAAACAAGAGAGAATGAGGGAAAATCCAGAGTGGATCAATGCAGCTTGAAGCGCCAGTGTTTACTGCGATCGCGTGAAGAATTTCCACGTTCCGCCCCCTTCAACCCAACCCTCATCACGATCACGATCGGAGCAAATCTACCAAGAAGAGTACAACCAGCCAGGTCGACGAGAACGCAAGATGAGGGAGGACTAGCATACGGTATCGTAGTACCCTCCACCCCCGTCAGTCGACAGTTTGGGCGCCAGTGGGAGGTTGGGATTAAAGAAAGGTTTTTGTGATCACCGCTCCCTCACATCCTTAATGCCGAAGAAGACAAGCTCAAAGAACTTATATGTCTTCGGGATCTTAACTTTCCTACGGCTAGCTTTACAAGCTTATATCTATTAGATATAAAACTACGTCTCCAAGAGTATAGTATCAATGATAGAACTTTTTTTACAAAGGAAGAGAACGGTATAATCACTATAATTCAGTAAGTTTAGTGACCACGTCTGCCACGTTGTGACCCTGCGTGCCTTAGGTACGGTCACATAAACGTACAAATGTACACAAGGTACCGCCACACCACAGTGTTGTGGCAGTTGTGTATGGGACAATACACAACTTTGTATGGCCCGTTACACCCTCCCCACCAATTCGTATGACAATTCCTTGCTCAAGGCCTGTGGTTACTAGTCAGCTGCGGGGACGGCTCTCAGGGTTGACGTAAGTTGGCAGAGTATCAGACGTGTACCATTGATAGTCGTTTCGACGCGTCGCGTCTGCTCTCGCGCTTATCTATTGCGCAAAGTTAACGTATGTTGGTTTCCCAGAAACTCCTGAACGCTGCCTCTGGTGGTCAGATTCACCTGCTGGAGCGTTGCCCGTTTTCTCTGTATCCTCAGCCGAATAATGCATGTGCTGCTGATCATGATACATATGCGCTGCGACATGACGTAAGTGCCCGCTGCGTAGGGGTAAGCACGATTGATTGGTCATGGGCTATCATGGCTAGCCCTGGTACTCAGCAGCTTGCACTGTTGTCTAGAAAGATCTGAAGACGTTCAAGCTCCCATCATTCTATAGTCCAGTGGTAGGTGAGCTTTCCTAGCCTGCTTGCGCGCATAGACAATATGTTCCATCGTGTATCTTATATTACACGGCAGCACCGTAGCTTATGACAACTGTTATCGCTTGCTCTTTCTTCATGGTAGACCTCATTGCCGTATAGCCACTCGATAGCACACACGCATACATGTATCTACAATGTAAGATCAAGTACGGTGCTCAGGATGTGGTACAGAAATCAAAACGCGACTGCTTGACAGATGTTCTGGAGAGCCTGATCTGATTGTGTGCAAGCGAGCATGCGCTATATTAGAATATGCGAGCCAGTGTTACTGGCTGAAGATTTGACACAGCGAAATTTCAACAGGGTGCACTCAGTTTTTACAGCAATCAAGACACACGTCTGAGATACGGAGTTCATGATTGCGGCGGATTAGTCCCCTCTCTATCTAGAAAATTGCTAAATAAGATCAGAAAATACACTTAAATATTGAAATGCTTCAGAAGGCGTCGTGAAAGGCAAAACATCGGTAGCATTTGCTGATATGGTACCGTTGTTGTACATGTGCATGCCCAGAATCTGATTAACCTCGCAACTATTGCCTTTTTATATAGCATGCTATTTGAGAACACATGGACAAAGAATAGCAAGCAGTGTATTTTTGTGTAGATAAATAAAAGCGATGACATTAACAGCGCTTTCTGAGGCCATCAGGCTCGTCGAAAGCACTGTAAGGAAGCGTGTTGTAAACAAAGTGCACTATTGCAATTGAGGTTTGATGGCGTCGAGATCTGATGATTATAAATTTCAAATTTTGTGATCACGTTGGCATACAGTTATTTACATGCAAATTAAAATAGGGCATCTCGTATATTTTAGCTTATGATGTTCGAGCCGCTCAAATGTTCAGTAGTTCCGTCTCTGAATTGAATTCGAACAAAACAGACTGTAATCAAGCAAACTCTGTTTAACCTTTATAATAAAGAATTACAGACGATTACAGGATCTTCAAACTCATAAGACTATGGCATGACATTAAGTAGTACTCCACCACTGGCATTGGTGAGCATGAGCTATTCTCATACCTATATAAGTCCATTAACAAACTTGTGTCGTTTATGACATGTAATGTCCTCTCTAATATTTTCCGACCCCATTCGGATCAGGCTCTCGAGCCGTCTCAGAGAACATCGGTCAAGCAGTCGCACTTGATTGCTGTACCACAACTTGGGCACCCTACGTGATTTTTATTTAACACTGTTATGTGTTTGCTGCTATCGAATCATTCTGCAATTTTTCTAAAGCCACTCATATCAATCTTCCAGCTCACCGACATCAATGAAAGTGTACCAGTTTGTGTTGCTGGTTGTAGTCACTCTAATTAGCTGTAAGAAAGCGGTCTTGACCACTGATAACGCGCAGCTATTCATAATTGACACGGCTGAGAAAGTCCAGTCCCAAAAGAGCGTGCATGGCCGCGGGCTCCTTCATCGCGACCTATCCGATCCAAAAGTTGATAGAATGGATCCTGTTCAAAGAAGAAGAAATCGAAGTTTGGTAAATCAGTTTTCACCAGAGTCTGAATTAACTGCCTCAAGTATCACTAATAATTTTTTACTGATGGACGAAGCTTACATGTTCAAATCAAAGAGTGCGTTAATAAGGGCGCCTAATGCCAAAGATCAAAAGGGTAAGGAAGCAAATGAAGCAAAAACGCATGCTGCAGCAGACGATACATGTAACGGGTTACAGGAAGGTACGTATTTTACATACACGCCTGCCACACCAATGTGGTGTGGCTGTACCTTGGGTACAAGAGTAGGCTCGATGTGACCGTACGTAAGGTACAAAGGGTCGCATCGTCACGTAGTCACTATACTTATATAAAGTATAGTGACTATGCATGTTTGCATAATAATAAAAGACTAAAGAGCCAGTAATAGTGACTAGCACTAAGTATAGAGTAGGTCCTTCTATATTTAGTGTTAGAAGATAAACATAAATATAAATCAGTTTCAAACCTGCTCTGTAAGCCTTACAGCTTGAGCATTCTATTCCTTTTAAGGAATCAGTATCTTTGATACTAGTCTCTTAAAGACGCGGCTACAACAACCGATAGGCATAAGCCTATGAGCTAGCCTAGGAGAGTTAAGCACCCTAAGACGTAGAAGCTCTCTAAGATTGTCCTCCTCTGCACATAGTGCATAAGTAGCTTTGCTATAGTAGCTTGGCTACATTCTCCGCACATAGTGCATAAGGAGCGTGGCTACGGTAGCTCGGCTACACAATCAGACTCCCTTGTGTTATGAAATCTCTCACCAAGATGCTGCACAAACTTTTAAATTGGTTGAAACCTTCATGTGCAGCTACATGAATGATACCGCTCGTTTTTGTCGTCAAAGTGTTTGTGTTAAACCAGCTACATCACAGGATCGAGCAGAGTTTTTACATTTTCCCTACTATCCTTGACCTCCTTACGCAAAACTATCTCTTGTTGGTGATGCTTCATTAACAAGCCGCTCCTATTGCTTCACTCGTTTTTCTCGTGTTCATAAATGCCTGCTTTGTCATGTTCGGATAGAAACTTCAACAGCAGTGGATGTTTTCTTCTACTTTGGTCATATCTTGGCACTAACAATACAATTGCCTCTCATGTGGTTTTGCTAATGTCCACTTTTTACCCAGATCCATTTGATTGACTTTATTCGTGTAATGCATTAGATTAGTGGTATCGTCCCACTGGAATACCAGCACCTTTGTCCATTTCGACTGGACCACCATTAAGATCGAAGAACATTGTCTCAAAACGTAGATGGTGTCAATGAGCGTTCCCCTTATGTCGGTCGGTATATGTGACGAGCCAGAAAAAATATCAGGCTGACAATCGCATGAGTTCATTGGTGAATGTTAGTTGGTATACCGTCCTGCAAGGTCATCAGCTAGCACACATGTCAGCGACCGAAGTGCTGGCGTGTAGATACACGCAAGTAATCATGATCATCCAACACGCCATCACGAGTATCCGACACTAAAACTTTGGTTTTCCTGCAATTGACATTGTTTGAGTTGTATCATGTTTAAAAGTACGCCACCTTATCGTTTAGACCCGTCTTAGAACCTGCACTGGCAAGCGCACTTTCACTAATGCTGTCAAGCAAGAAAGCTCCGCTAATGCTGCATGATCAGAGCTTTGCTGTAGAGGTCGACATTGTGCTGCTAGCCGACCCGTATGCTCATTTGTGTGCCTACATGAAACATACAGCCACATTCAGTTGAATGGACGAAAACCAGTTTATGATCCTAGTTTTGCGTACCTGATATGGATACCCCGTAAGCATTGGAATAACATCTTCCTGGCAGGGTTGACGTGGTGTAATACCACGAATAGGCGCGTAAGCATAATTGGGTGCCGAGAGCTTATCACGTTGGTTTCTCGTACAGCAGCTACCGCCAGTCAAAGTAGCGGATACCGACATTGTGACGAGCGAATACGTTGGTGATAAGATGACAAACCCTTGCCCTGGCGCGTGAATAAGTAGTAGCGCGCTGGGAACGAACTCAGTCAACAATTGAATGGTGAATTCGTACGTGGTGTGGTGAATACTTAGAGGAGTACAATACTGCGACTCTTCCAATTCCATACAGCCAGTGCCCATGCCGATCAAATATACCGCTTTCACAGTGATCAGGACGTAGAGCAGGGTGCATAGCAGCCGTGATCTGAGACATCATCAACGTCAACGTTGATCATAAGTCGATAGTCAGTGTGCATGTTACAGTCTACTGGTTACAAGTGACAGTACCTACCCTTCGTAGTACAAGTTGTCTCGGAGAAACAGCCTAGGCGGAGAGCGAGGACACTCCCTGGCGTCCAGTAATACCGTTGACATTTCTTATTGCGGTCGCGAATATCTTAGAAGACCACACTGAAAAGAAGACGCGGTATGGGAGACAGCAACGAGAGTTCCTCCCTTGTTGATGAGAGTATTCAGACTCTCATGGGTAGATGAATCGAGAATTGAATTGTGGGTCCTATTTCCGGGATTTTGAACTCAAGGAGACAAGAAGAAATTCCTTTAAGCGATGCAGAGTTGACAGGTCTAGTGGCAGAGCCGAGGAGTTTGGAAGGTTGTCCAGAGTGTCCAGTGGGTTGACCTCGCCCTTCTTAGGTGGTCTTTTGGTCTTTCAATGCCGACCCTGGTCTATCATTAGTAGACCTTGGTCTTTCGAGGTTGACCCTGGTCTATCGTTTATAGACATTCGGCTGTGAGGTTGATTCTGGTCGGTCATTGGTAGACCTGGCTCGTTTGAGGTTAACCTTGGTCTTTCGAGGTTGACCTTGGTATTTCGAGGTTGACCCTGGTCTATCATTGGTAGACCGTGATCTCTCTAGGTTGAATCTGGTATATCTTTGGTAGACCTTAGTCGTTTGAGGTTGACTCCAGTTTATCAGCGTTATGAAGCCATGGAATCGACATGAAGTTGAAGGCTCAACAAAGTGCAGGTATATGACGAAATTGAGAAAAACGAACGCATGTATATTCAATAGGAGAGCCTAAACAGCGATAAAGAGCTTGTTTTGGACGCGCGATACCGAGCACCCAGGGTGAGACTCCGTCGAAAGCCGATACTGAAGAGCCAGGTGTAAGTGCAATCAAAGTTCTTCAGAGCTACCAGCAAGTTGGCGGGATTCGACCTCCTCACATTCAGGAATCCAGTACACTACGAAGCGTGGTCGGGGGAGGTGTCGCGAGAAGGGGTCAAGCAGAATGTCGATACCGCATCGACCGTCACTCATTTCCTTGAAGGTCATGAATACGACCCCTCGCCACGCCCGAATTGCCCAGCCACAACGCTTCTATCGGTTTCCACTTGGAAGATCGATCAACCTTCTCGTCCGGAGGTGACCGAGGTAGTTTTTTTTCAGCACCAGCAGGAGCTCTTGACCACTCTGATCGACAAATTTTAACAGTCACACACAACTACAATGTCTCCGCCTTTCTACACAATGTATCCCACGATTCGGCCGGTGTTAGAATGTAATGTCATCCATGTAGGACGTTAATCCAATACAGAGGAGTCCGACCTTACATCCGGCTCCCCTTTCGCGACTAAATCTCCGGTCTCTTCTGTAACAGCTCCTTAAGAGATACGCAGGAATCCATACAAAGCATAATACAAAAGTCTCTGATATACCTGAGGTGCATTCTTGAGTCCAAATCGCATCCACCGCCATTCAAATAACCCTAGTGGGGCGACGAAAGCTGAGATCTTTCCCGCCCTATCGGTCATACCGACGACCCAAAAATCACTTGCCATGTCAAGGAGGCAGTACCACACTGCTTTGTTTAAGTGCTCCAATCATTCGATAGTCAGAGGCATAGGGTAGACCATAAGCGGGGTCAAGTCTTATATTAACCGGTAGTCAATACACATCCTGATGCCAGTTTTATCCACAATGATTACAATTGGGCTGGACCGTGGCGAGAAAGGCTGGATGATCGTCGCAAATAACAGTACCTTGATCATGTCAATTAACTTCTTTCTGAATTGAGGGTACATGTTATTCATTTTCCTTGTTTTACCCACATCAAAATAATGTAAAAAAATGTCACAGTTAGCTCGGTGGTGAGGCATAACCCTTTCCTGATGAGTAGGTTTTGTCTTCTACATATAATTTGTCGCAGTCTGTCTACCTTCTAATGTAATCTTAGAGCCAGGAATCTGTATATCTTTAAGCTTAATACTCGTAGATGTGGCCACCCTTGGTTTATATCTTCTGCCCAGAGCTTCCCACTTTCGAACGTATACACTGTCTATCCGCTTGCGCCACTTCCACCCAGCGACCGTTGCCACTCTTCGCCTGGTTACACTGATAGTCTACCTGGTCGACTTAAAGGTCAGCCTGGTCAACCCAAAGGTCAACTTGGCCGGTCCTTGCCTGGGACCCACAATGGGACCATCTTCAATTTAGAGTTAAAAATACCGTGCGGGTTTCAATGTCCTTTGTCGAGCGAGGGTCAAGGCTAGTGGAGCTTTCATAAAAGTCGGTCCTTCCGGGTCCTTCATCCTAGGTCCTCCTCAGGCTCTGTCGTGAAGCATTCTAGAAACTGGGAATCCAAAGGACCAGTGGGTCAAAGAGAAGGAAACTTGCCAAAGAGGACCGACCGTTGGGTAAGGGGGAGAGAAAAGGGTGATAAAGGGCAAGGGAAACAGGCGTTGGATGGGGAGAATTCTCGGCCAAAGCCTGCTAGTTTGCCACCATTCATAACAGTTCACCGCGGTAAGCCCGATGGACCGCAATTTTATTAGGTGGACCCGGTTGTTTTAGGTCGACCCTGGTCTATCATAAGTAGACCTCGGTCTTTCAAATTCAACCATGGTCTATTGTTGGTAGACCTTGACCTTTCTAAAGGCATATCTCGATCTTTGGTTGATAAACCCTCGACCACAGTACCTGGAGGTCGACCTTGGTCCCTTCGTCAATTGGTCATGATTCCTCGTCAATAAATCTTGTCCTGCGTTCGATGGACTCTCGACATCATTCCCTAAAAAACCGACCGCGGTCCTTCGTCAATAGTTCTTGGCTTTTCAGTCCATGGACTCTCGGCTCCGGTCGCTGAAGTCGGCCTCGGTTTAGAGGTCCAGATACGCTAGCCGATTAGAGTCATGAATTAGGTCTCAGGAAAAAGATTCATGAAAGAAGGTTACAGATAGGAATACATTAAATACTACTCAATTTGCGATCTACTTAGCATGCCTTCGTCGTACTTATAAAGTAACTTACATAGGTCTTTCCACCTGTTCCGGAAGTGATATATTTGGCTCCCCCGTCGAAGACAGTCGTGTGGTAAGATCCAAGTGTGAATAGAGTTCTAGGATGTATTTGGCCTGTGGGATTGTCTGAGCAGCACCCTTTAATCGACCCGATATCGGGAGCAATCTTCCTACCGTAGCGTTTTGTAAGCAGGTAAAGGCCAGGCAGTTAACACCCTCGAGATATCACGGAAAAGGCTAATGTTAAGAATCTCCCCATAAAAATTTGGTTATAAGCCCACCCTCGACCTAGTCGACCGAGTGGCCACCTACTAGCCTACCGAGTGCAGCATATCCACTCGATGCACCCCAAGGTCGACCTCTCTCAAGGCCGATATTGCATCTCGACCAAGTCTTCTGACAAGTGCAACCCGCCAGCCGACTGGTACACAAGGTGAGAGAAGGTCGATACGCGGCATCGGAGTACCCCCTCCTACAGCTGGCAGTCAGACACAGTGAGTGGCTAGAGGTATCTTTACGCAGCTTTAATATCCCACTTCACCACATTTGCTTCACTGACAGTGGCATTACTGACCAACTCACGGTCTTGACCAGGTATCACGGCGTCCGCCGCGTCCGACGTGGAGTCACAACTATCGCCTGCAGGCTAAAGCAACGGCGGACACGGTACATCTCCAAGCTGCGAGGGCGAGTACGTAGGCTACTGCTTACTTGACAGGCCTGGCAAATGTTCTTAACTGATAACCGACAGGAGGTCCACATCAGCCAGGCTGGCTTGGTTCCTTAACGTTAACCGGACAAACTTCACGCGAAGTTCAAACGAGTATCGGGCTAGGAGCGTGCGTGATAAAAGTGTCACAGAAATCAGGAGACTCTACGCTCATCCGTTTTCAGTCGGGTGTAGCGTTGCAGATAGATTTAGATTGGAAAGAGATCATGTGCTGCGGACGAGCCACCTTACAGTCCCGGTCACAGATCTGCGTCCGACTCTGTAGCACTTTGTTACTTTCCTCCCTTATCGCATTGGCAAACCGCCAAAAACGGTGCTCTTACTGCCGATATGACGGAAGCAGAGGTGGTTCTCGCAATACGGGATTTCAATAGGTATAAAGCTTCCGTCAATGACTGCTTAGGAAATGATTTTTACAAGAATCTTCAATTGCTGTTGGTACCACCATTGGTCGAATATCTAACGAGGTCATGCAAGGTACACAAATACCAAAGTCGTATATGGGGCGCTTATTATCCTGCTACGTAAGAAATAGGATTTCAACGACGCCATGGACTATAGACCATTTATCCTGTTTCAAACGGGATACATTAGTAATAGCGAAGGTCTTGGCGACGCGTATGCAGAAGTGTCTGCCTCATGTCATCGGTTTTTCTCAACAAGTCGGTGTTACGAACGACAAATGCAAAAGACGGTGTCAATGATGCTCGCTTACCTCCAAAGATCACGTGAGAGAGTGATTTGAACGCCGACGCCGGCCGTACCATCATCTTACTAATTTTTCAAAAAGCCTACGATACAGTCAGCCGCGACTTCATGGTAGAGCCGCTCCGGCTATTATAGTTTAACGAGAATTGTGTCGCTCTCATTCAAAGGCTTCATACTAACACGACCGCATCAAAGGTGAGTTTTCTTCACTTCGGACGGTGCGGTCTGGCATAGGCAAGGCTGTCCTCTCGCTCCTATTCTTTTCTTGGTGACAGTCGAGGTTCTTGGCCGTTTCAATACAAACGTCACCCCAACTTCATGGGCTCACACTTCCAGCATAACTTCCACAGACTCATATAATTTCGAGGTTTGTCGACGACGCTACACTGTTTCTCCAAAACGCCAGTCGACTACGACCGGCTATGAACATCGTTCTGAAGTTCAGATGGCTTTCGGGGTTTCAGGTGCGACCGATAAAACCCAAATCATATTTTTAAACACGGCTATTCGTCAATTCACGGATTAGGAAATCGAAGTCGCTGCTTCGTCCACAACTAGGAGGTATCTCGGCTATCAAGTGGGTACAAGCAAGTTTCACAACATTAATTGGACGTTCGCATCGAAGCTGCACGGTGCCGCCTCGTCACTGCAACGCGAGTATCGACGACCCTCGAG